TTGTCAAACTCTCTGTTTCCAAGCAAAGAGGATCCCCAGATGAGGCTATGTAAAAGGGCAGAGTCTCATCTCAGGAAGCATCGACCCAACCTCATTTTATACAGGGTCTACAGGAATTTTTGGCTGAGCCTACAGGCTCAGATGCTTTACATTAAAACCAGCCTTATGCCACATCTGATCGCATGGGGAGGTTAGTAAATATATTAGCCGGGATCTGTTGAGTATGACTCATATTTATGCGAGAACTACCGACCTTCCAATAGTAGCACTCACTACTGGATTGACTTTCAATGACTTTGTGCATAACTGCTACCTTTATTCTTATTGTACTGGTTTTTTACAATAAACCTTTACTTATTTTATCCACCTTGTTTTTCAAGTATATATTCCTATTAGCATGAAATATAACACTAAGTAAGGGTGGTAAATACCTATATACCTAAGATATAAGTTCTTCATTATCTGAAATGAAGACGCTAGTCCCAATAAATCAGTGTATGATAATAATTTTTCATCTTAGAAATTCAGACAAAATCTCCTTGAAGCTAATTTAGTCTATATTGATCGTGGCCACTTTTGAGCCATTTTATTCTGTCTTGACCAGATCAATAGTAATGTCTAAATTTTGGCTGAGCCTGCAGTTTTATAGCTATGTTTTAATTTATATTGCTAGACTTTACGGTTTATGCTAAAATAAGCTTTTATACATTATCTTTTTTTTCTGATGCTATACTTTGTCAATACTATATATTGACTTATTTTGTTTTTTACATATTATTGCAAATCCTTTAAAATAACTAGTTGATGGAAAGCAAAGAATGAATTCTCTTTCATGTTATATCAAATATTAACTCATTTATTACTTGTGACAATAGACTGGATTATCAAGTTAAAGAAAGTGAGAAGAAAGATTTAACACATTTTGCAATCAATCTGGTGCAAAGAGAAAATGTTTCTTACAAATTTCAGTAACTTTTTTTAGCTCTTCATTTTGAACTTGTATTTCTCATTTCATAAAACATCACTTTTGCTACAAACAATAGCTTTATTGATCCCTATTCAACAGGCCAGTTTCAAAGTTAGAGAGAGCAAGAAAGAGAAGAGATAAAGACTGAGTGGAAAAGAAATGAGGCTGATTCGACTCCATGGAAGTAGCATGAAGTTTCCTAGCTGTAATGGTCTGAACTGGTGGAACTAAAGAATGGAGTGCTCATCTGAACATTTGCCATGGAAATAGTAATAGAGTAGCAACAGGCTTGCAATATTGAATCTGTGGGAAAGAGTTTGTAGAGTGGAAAATAAGATTTCCTCTACAAGATTACATAAATGATTTTGAACTCTATCAAGGCTGAAAAGTTAGAATTGAGAATCTTCAATCTATATGACAGCAATAATGTGAGTTACCTGACTTGGCTCCACTGTTAGTTGGTGCTGTTTAACTCTATAAAAAGATAAAAATTGCTTTCCTCTTTCTTTCTCTTACTTCAAGATGTAGCACATAAATAAAGGCATCCATTCTTTTTGCCACTCAACTGACGACTGAACTTTCACAAACACAAGTGTGTCACACATACATATTGCACATAGAAAGAAGCACATTCTTAATAGTTATGTTTTTAATGTATTTTCCTTTTTTTTTCACCTGTGTAGACATTAATATAATTTCTTTTTGTTGATACATGCATTAATTGTTTATTATTATTGGTCCTTGTCTAGCATCTCGGTTTCAGCCTGTACCTTGTATATAAATAATTTCATGGTAATTGTTTGGATGAGCTCTTTACTATGATACCTAGACTTTTTTAATTTAAGTACAGTACTCAACTGGCAACAAAGTCTCCTTAATTTACAATTGAGTTGGATAGACTTCTTGCTTGTGGAACTCCCTTCCAGCAACATGCTTTCCAGATAACTTAAATCTTCAAAAATTTATATGCAATGTCAATCACTATCTACTGTCCTGATTACGCTTCTTTTGTTCTCACTCCTTAATGTTTCTGTTTTCTAATTCTTTCATACACAATAACCCCTTATGTCTCAGTGGCTTTACTGGCTTGCTTGGGAATGAACTTGATTAAAAAAATATTCCAACAAATGTTAATACAAAATTTGAAAATGATGTATGCAAAAGACTAGTACAAAATCTTTTTATTAGTCAGCAATACAAATAATTAAAAATAATAATTAATAAAAAATGGTAAGTAAATAACTATTATAATAGTCTATGTTTGTCTTATACACTTACTTTTGGGAGAAGTAATAATATTTCAGTCAAAGTGGATTGTTTCAAATTCATTTTTTTAAACTTAAAAAATATACATTATTACTATTTATTATCCAATCAAAATCATGGGCTTACACCAGTTAAATTTGAAGTCAAGGCCCACTGGAGTCCCTTCTATTGTTATATAAGAAAAAAGCTTGTGGATAATGTTCAGATGGTGATACCTTTTTAACTAAGATAGTAGATGAAGTGACATGAAAATTTTGTCCTGAATGAAGATTGATAAGAATCCAGAAGGGAAAGCAATTTTTGGCTGCGACCTGAGAAACATACATAAAACAGAACTGGAACCTGTGAATAGAACTGTGTTCTTAAAAAGTATAATTAGTAATAAAAAGTCTCCATGACACCAGTGGTTTGAAATTGCCAAATTTCCCTTCATTCTGTGAATTTTTCATCTTTATATTAGTTGGATGCACTCTTTTTTTAAAGAGTATTTTCTACCTTATTCAAAGTTTTTATTATCTTCTCAAAGTTTTTTTCAGTTTTTGAAGATTGTTTTGAAATCTTTCAAGATCATTTATATGTATATATTTTGATGTTATCTGGTTCACACAAGGCACACAAAAGGAAATTTTTGTGCAAGCCTATTTTGTAAAATATTGTATTTTGTTATATATATTGTTTTAATATTTTGTAATAAATGTTTGTTCCTTTTAAATTCAATTCAGCAGTTTTGAGTTTTATTTGTTTGTATATGCCTTTGCTAATGTTTGGGATAAGAGCGAGGACATTCTTTCTTTTCTCGTGTCCTCCCAGGAAAAAATTATTTTACTGGAGGCATTGGAAATACACTGTAAAGAGTCCAACAAATATTTTTATCAGTGGGAAAAATAACATTGGGATAATTGCATAGAGACAAGACATGAAGGAGACCAGAGTTTCAAGCTGTCAAACCTAATTAGACATTTTTAAAATAATTTCGGTATAAACCATTGTATATGTGTATATTTCTGATCAGATATTGATTACTTAGAAGCAAATTTCTCTGAGTTACCTACATTTTTTTATTTCTTAAAGCTTTCTACCCGTGTTATATGTGCTTGCATAGGTGTATGTGTGTGCACATATGTTTGTGTGCATGTGTGTGTGTGTTTGTGTATGAAAGAATACTGAAAAGTTCTATACATAATTATCATAAAAGTATGTAATTACATATATAATTGCCATAAATGTCATATTTAAAAGCTTGACTAGAAATGCCTGTATTTTTTTAAACAGTGAAATTAATGTCTACCAGCCGAGAGACCAAAGTATTACTAAAGAAAATGTGCCTCCTAGCATGTATTCCTAAAACCTGTATTGTCATCGTAATCTTGGAAACAACTTTCAAACTATGTGTGCTTTACCATTAAACTCCAGGAAGACATCACAAAAAAATAAAGCTCAGTTACACTATTACTCTCTCTCTCTCTCTCTCTCTCTCTCTCTCTATATATATATATATATATATATATATATATATATATATATACCTGATGTGATGAGAATGAAAGTAATATATGAATTCCAACGTTCACAGCATTAATCCAAAAGACCGTCAAGTGCAGTTGAAATGCACTGAAACCAAGTTGCATCTTTATAGTGAGTAAAATGGTTTTGTCTATATGATAAAATTATAATAAATAAATAAAAATAATATATATATATATATATATATATATATATATATATATATATATATTACACAATGGCTGAGTACACAGCCATATGTAAGCCTAACATCTTATATACATTTGAAATAATTTTGTGGAAGCAATTTTCCTATTTCTAATAAAATCTTTACCAAGTTCTGAAATTTTGTGTTAGCCTTTGTCACTAGAGCAATTTTTATATATTCATATTATCTATGTATCTATCTATCTATCATATATATATATATATATATATATATATATATATATATATATATATATATAGGTGGCTAGCCAATCCCTATTGCAGACGCTTGCTCAGGCACATTTGTGTTTATTCAACACCCACAGAGCCCACCTGTGCTTTATACTGCAACTATGCTGAGCAGACCTTAGTTACAATTTCTGGGAAAGAACATGTTATCTATTGTGATCAACAGTGTGAACAAGGCCAGCAAGCTCAAGCCCTCAGCCATGATGACTTGTGACTTTGTGCTAGCACAGCTATCGACAGGCCCCAAGGGTTCCATCTACCCAATTTCACTCACAAGGTTAGGGTCAACCCGTGGTATGGTTTTCATACACTTTCCAAAGATGCTGCATGCTGGGATCAACCCCACTAGTCCGATAACATCAGGAAGTCTCATTCCTGACAAATCAACCATGGTGAAATTCGAACTCATGTCTCATGGTCAGAATGTGAATGTTCTAACCATTTGGCCATGTCCCCTTTATATATATATGAATTTAATATAAATTGTGTTAATAAAATAGTATTCAATGTAATATAACAGAGCTCTTAAGTATATATTAATAAATATTCATATTACTTCTCACTGGTAGCACATCTTGGAGTTTCATACTCAACACAAGTTGTGCTACCAGTGAGGAATAATATATATATATATTTATATATATATAATACCAAATAGTAATTGGTAGGGATAATTTCAAGGATATTAATCCAAATATTTGTCTGGAAAAATTGATTTCATTTCTAAAAACACTTGGTCTGAAGAGATAAATATTTAAATATATTCATGAAATAAATTATAACCATAATGCATTTTTAAGGATTGTCTTTACTTATTACTAATATATATATATAGAGAGAGAGAGATAGATAGATAGATAGATAGATAGATAGATATGATTATTTTTACATCTACATCAATGTAGGTTTGTTCATGAATATGCTTATACAAATTTGTGTATTTGTGTATATGAATGTGAAATATTTATATGTGTATATATATATCATTGTGAATGTCTTCATATGTTCTAAATATGCTGTCTACTTTATATGAATATATTTATCTATGCATGTGTGCAGTTGTATAGAGCTATATAACAAATAAAAAATATAACACACCAATACATAAACACTACCACATATATATACATGCACATGTATAGGGAAAAAAAATCATTTAATCTTTTGAATTTTTGCCCTCTTCGTTCTTTCCACCATTTCTAAAAAATTGATTTCACTAAAGACACCCACTGTTATATTACTTTTTTAGATATTTTGCATCAATGAAATCTGACCAACCAAATAAATTGAATTTTTTAATCATTTCAAGCATAATAGTTCCCATGTTTTTCTATTTCTGTTTCCAATTACAAATCAACTGACCTTCAAAGGTTCATGGAAATCTTTGCTTATTTTATTTATTATTTGAAATTTATTATTTTATTCATTTATATATTTCATTTATTTATTTGTTTTGTATATTTTCAGTGGTTCTAAATTTTGATCATTTTAGTCATAATGTGGTTGTAGGTAGCATAGTGGAAATTTGTTTTTGTATCTGCATTTGGAAATGAAGTCTCATCATTTGTCTCAGAGCTTGCCTTGCTCTGTGTTCTGGGAAAGTGATTATCACTATTTTCTCCTCTGAGCAGAGATTACATTGTTTTGAGGTATTTTTGTAAGCTAGTGATCTTTTTCTTATTTTCCATATTATTTTTGGTATATATTGGTATTTGTTTATGAATTTCCATATTTGAGAGGTTGTGCTATTTACATATTTTTTGTTGTTTAATGATGCTTTGTGTAAGTAGTTTTTTTCTATTTCCAAAGATCTTCTGTTATTCTTATATATGTTTTTGTAATTTCTTTGGGTCTATAGCTTGGTATAGTTAGTTTGAAGCATTAGCCATTTAGTGGGGATTTGTACTTTGGTTCTGTATATGTAGGTGTGGGTTATAGGGATTTGTGGTGTACTGGTGATTTTTCTGTTGTTTTTTAGAATTTGTAGCATGTTTTTTTGGTGTAGCTATAGCTTACTTTTAGATTATATATTTTACGCAGTTTGCTTGATTTTGGAACTGCTTGCAAAGTATTTGATAAATATTTTATCTGTCTAACTCTCTCTCTCTCTCTCTATATATATATATATATATATATATATATATATGTATGTATATAAATAAAAAGAAAGAACAGTAAGATATAAAATCCGGTGTTCTTATAGATATTTTATTTTTACAAAATAGTGCTCAATGTAAATTTACAGAGCATATTTTAAATCAATTAATTTATAATATATATATATATATATATATATATATATATATATTAATAATAAAATTATTGGTAATCTGTATGGAATTTTTAAGAGAATCCATTGACAGCTCTATGTCAAAAGACAGAGCAAAAATTATTATATAATGACAAACAAACACTTAAAAAAAAACCATAGGTGATATTTATTTCATTGAAGTCAATAAAAAACAGCTTCAAATCTTCAGACCTGTAAACCAAATGTAAATGGAAAAATTCACTCCAGGTTTAAAAATTAAGAATAGTGATTTCATATTGAGAGAGTGGAGGAAAGAAAGATGTGAAGTTATTGGCGTGTAGGAATGGGAGGGGGGAAAATGGTGTGTCATCACAGTTGTATTAACTAACATTAGGACCCATGGTGATCTAATGTAACATCTGGATTGTGGACATAACTCATTACATGAAATGACAGTTGAAAATACATAAATCAGAGTTGAAAGAAGATTTTTAGTGTAAAATTGAAATTCTCTCTGGATCCTTCTTCAGTTAAGATTCTGAACATATATATTCAACTTAAAAAACCTGTTATAATTTATATTAAAAATAGTGGTTGGTTAAGAACATTAAAAAATATTCAGAACCTAGCTAAAGATTTCAATTTAAATGTAAAAAAGTTCTATTCAAAATAAAATTATATATATATATGTGTGTGTGTGTGTGTGTTTGTGTGTGTTTGTGTGTGTGTGTTTTCTAATATATAATTATCCATGAGATTCTCCATAAATAATTAATAAAAACATTAAGATATACAGAAGAAAATATATATATAAATATCTATTTATATAAAGAAAACGTTAGAACTATTATATCATAAAGTATATAAAATAAGAAATTGTCCCAAACCTTTATAAACTTTAATAAGTTTATTTAAATTAATGATATACGAAGAGACTTTAAAAACTAAGTAAAGCTAATAGGATCTGAATTAACTATCTAGTATATCTCTACTAAGGTTAAAAGTTCACAAGTTAATTTCAATAAGTATCTATATCTGTGTCTATATGAGAAACTTTTTATATAAATTAACATGTAATACCCAAATTGGTCAAACATATATCTAACTGCTCTCTATTTTTAATATGTACATTGCATTAATAATAGTCACAGTAAAAACATTAGATTTGTAAAAGCACAAACAAATAATAAATATATAATGCACATTGTTAACATCAATACAAAAAAATTATCTCACACTTCTACGGGCTTTCCAGTATTAATATAGGACATTTCTTCCTGATAAGCATTTTAACAAGAAGAATCCATTAACAAAATTTTTAATAGGAAAACACTTAAAATCGGTTACTCTTGTGTTAACAATGTAGAGAAGATCATCTCAGCTCACAATAGTAAACTCCTTAATAAGTTTCAATGCAGTGGAGTACAAGATATTAACCCTGCATGCAATTGTAGAAGAAAAACCGAGTGTCTTGTTGAGGGAAAATGCATGTCTAAGAATGTGGTATATGAGGCAACTATCTTCCCTGAAGAAAATGTAAGCCTAAAAAAGATCTACATTGGAATATTTGCAGGAAGTTGGAAACAACACCTATATAATCACAGACACTCTTTCAGTAATAGATTACTGAAAAACCAAACTACTTTATCCAGGTAATATTGGGATCTAATTCACAAAAGTCTCACCCCACATTTGGAGTGGAAATTCATATCCAGGGCTCAGACTCCTAAGAACTTCAGGGACCATTGTGACCTATGTCTCCAGGAGAAAATATTTATAATTAAATATAAAAACCAGGAGAAGTTACTGAGCCTTTGGAGTAGACTAATATCCAAATGCAGGCACAAATATCACCTTAAAATAGAAGAACCACTTCTCCTGCATTATATAATATCAAATATGACATAACATATATTAATGTATTCAAATCTATATCTTCATTGGATTAATGCTGTTACCCATGTTTATATAATTATGTTTATTGTACTCTGAAGCTTATGATTGAGGTATATATGTGTTTTGATATGTATATTTACTTGGATATGTGTGTGTGTATATATATATATATAGATATAAAAGTGAACATTGAAGTCAACACTTAGAGGCAACAGGCTGTTTCATGCTAAACGCAATCATCAGGCCTGATGATTGTGTCTAGCATGAAACAGCCTGTCACCTCTAAGTGTTGACTTCAATGTTTGCTTTTATATTTACACACACTCTATCTCTGATATTGAGCACTTTATCCCATAAATATAGCACACCTTAAGAGTATATTTCTTCATATATATGGATATGTGTGTGTGTGTGTCTGTGTGTGGTGGATATGTATATGCATGGATATATATTTGTGTATATAAATGTATATGTGGGTATATGTGTATATGTGAATTTGTGTACTTGTGTAAGTATATAATGTATGGGGGTAGTATATATAGCAGTAGTTATGCTATTGTTTTCATTTCAGGTAAATTTCAAAAACAAAAATAAATGTATTGCAAGCCAAAAGATTACTGATTAATTCTTTGAATGATTACTTCTTTATAATATTATATATACTGCACCAATTAATATATGTATAAAAACTGATCCACTGTGCAAAATTTCTGGAAAAAATTGCTAAGACATTACTCTAATGATAGGACCATTTTGTTCATGTCACATTAAGTAAAAAACACTTATAATAAAAAAAAAAATTGTGGATTTGACACATTATAATTTTAAAGAATTTTTCTCACTTGAAATATTCAAAATACAACTTTAGCATTGTGACACTGCATGTTCCGAAATTGTACTGTTAATAAATAGCACACTTTTAAAAAACATCTTTCAGCTTGCAATACAATTATTTTCATCTTGGAAATTTACCTGAAATGAAAACAATATCAATACCTGATGATGAAAGAGAAAATTTCTTTGAAAGTACTTGTAACAGAACATCTAATCCATCTCATAATGTTAAACATAAGGATTGTGTCATTCAGGGAGTTGTTTGTATGCTAATATTTTATTGATCTGTTAGCGAAGTGATTTCACCATTTACTCATTAATTCTTTGGATGATTACTTTTTTATAATAATAATAATAATAATAATAATAATATATATATATTACACAGCAAAATCCCAAAATTTTGTTGTGTAATTTATATGCTCTTATAATAAATACATTGAGCTCTTTTTGTGGCTCAGTTTTAATATTTGATATTACTAGGATCCAATTAGAGTATATACCAACAGATTTATTACCTCTACTATATACACACACATACACACACACACACATATATATATATATATATATATATATATATATATATATATATAATGCATATTTGGGTAGTAACCTTTCTTTTAAATATGTCATATTGAATATGACAGACAAGGAAAATTTGGTGAATTTTTATTGAGTTTTTCTATTATTCTCAAAATTTTCCATTTGGTGGGGGGTAAGGGAGTGTAAAAATTGTTCACGATGTCCATTGTCCCAAGCACTTTCACCCACTTCTTTAGCCATTTTCAAGGGTTTGTTGTTAAATAGTGTTAATTTCTTTTCATGGTTGTCTTTTAAAATGCAATTGCATGATCACCAGTATAACACAATTGTATCTTAAAAGACAACTATGAAAAGAAATTAACAA